GAGAATAAAATCAAAAGAGCCATGTGCAGGTTGACTGTTGGGTACAATCCAGCATACCTGAAGGAAAAGAAAGTCCTTGAGTAATCAGTTGGATGTACACAGATTTCAGGGATGACCTGAGCTAAGATCTTACACAGCTCTTCCATAGAAACAAGTGGGAAAAGGTGCAGACAGTGGGCCTTTTAGAAGTTCGTTGACTGTATCTGCTTTTCAGTGAAATAGAAATCTGAAAGTAAGAGTGCCTGAGAGGGTGTGTGCTGTTTAATAATCAAGATAAGGGATAAAATCTTAGATTTTATCATGTGCATATATGTTATATCATGGGCATATATCTTAGAATAGTAGTATGGTGAAGAGATTGAAAAAAATGATGATTGTACTTGAGCCCAGTGGCACATGTCTGTTAATCCAAGTCACTTTGGGAGACTGAGACAGGAAGATCACAAGTTTGAGGCCAAGCCTGGGAGAATTTAGTGAGACCCCCTTCTCAGAATAAAAAGGGGTGAGGATGTAGCTCAGTGGTACAACCCCACTCGGTTTCAATCATCAGTACCACAAAAAAACTACAATAAAAAGATTGTTTTTTAGACACACTTGAGATAACTGTGATGAATTTAAGTAGAGATCAGTTTAACATCACTGTGTTTTTCTCATGGGTCGTCTCCTTTCTTTCATCACTCCCTTAAGTGAGTATCCTCCTATTTAGGTGTTTTATCCTTTTCTATCTCCCCTCAGACACAATGAGAAAAAAATAACAATTTGTCTGGATTTAGTGTGGGTTGCTCTGGAAGCCAAATTCCATCCATTCACTCTCCAGGACCCACCCCCAACACAGGTCTGGAAGTACAGTATACACATTGCTCAAAAGACAAAAATGTCTTATAGGAATTCCGGTTATGAGTAAAACATTCTTGGTCTCTTGAGGGCAAACATGCAGAGGCAATCAAGATCCTTAATCCAAATCCTTCAGAGTTGAAATACACCCCTTTTCCTGTGAGCATTGCCTCCTTGCTGAGGCCACCTGCTGAGAATCTAGCTGCTGTACCATCTCTTCACTCTCCTTCTTCTTTACCTCCCCCCCAAAAAAAAAGATAAGGAGGTAAGGGAATAAGCTGCATTGGAAGACAGTAGTGGGGCTTGAATATGGGGAGGCTTAAATGGAGAAGAGCAGTGCCGCAGTCTGGCTGGCTCTCAGCAGAGCAGATTAATAGGAAGCCAAGGAGCCCATTCTAAAGTCATGACTGTTCCCAGAAGACAGTAGAGACCATAGGGTCTGTGTCTTATGCTCTTGCCAAAGAGAAGGTTACTTCCTGACTCACAGACTGTCTATTTATGTGAAAAAGAAATAAAACACACACCACTTCCTGTCCCTACTCAGTCCTTACACCAGTTCTTCTTCCACATGAACAGATAGCTGCTTCTCCCCCCCCCCCATATTTTTATTGATGCATTATAATTATATATAGTAGTGGGGTTCACTGCTACATATTTATATATGCACATGATATAGCAATATATTTGGCCATTATCATTCCCCAGTATTTCCCCCTTTCCTCCCCTCCTTTCTCCCCCTGGTCCCTATTCTTTACTGATCTCCTTTCAATTTTCATGAGATTCCACTCACCCTCCACATTTCTTTTCCTTTTCCCTCCCTAACTTGCACATCTGAGAGAAAACATATGATTCTTGACTTCTTGTTTGGCTTAAGTTGTTCAACATAATG